ACCATTTCCAGAAACTCTTGAATAGCTTCCTTAGTTAAATAAGTATAGGGTGAGTACTGAGCAGTCTTTACCTGGGGAAAGAGTATAATGGGAACACTTTGTGGCCTGGCTGAAGCTAATTCCTCCTCATTTGCTAGAGAGGAATCTGATAAATTGCAAAAGAAACTTAGGACCTTTAGAGAGAAAAGGAACCCAGTCCTGTTCACCTATTGGGGTGGATGGAGATAGGTAGATCAAAGACTTAAGGAAGCACATCAAGATTCTTCAAAGTGAAACACACCAAAAAAGAATGCGGCATGGGAGCAGTAAGGCATATACAAGAAGAGGGCTATTTTAGGAAAAACACTATGGGTTTGCCTTAGGACTCAGCTCTGCTGGCACATTGCTGGGGTTTAGGGGTGAGCATTGAAATCTGGGATACCTTTTGGTTGAGTTTTGAGGTGTCATCACAGGATGGACATGCTTTCATGCACAGTGCAGGTCTAGTTTTGAACAATGGCATTTAATTGTAGCAAAAAACAGAACAGTAATGCAGGATTAAACTCTTTCTCCCTCAAGACTGAGTAAATCTTGAGCTTCTAAACTTAAAAAGAGTCTGTATGTGTGTGGGAGGGGAAGACTTTCCAGGGGAGGTCTCAAGAGTGAGATGCTGGACTTTCCACTAATAAGTCATGTGGATGCTCATTGGAAAAAACAAAAAGATTTCACTGCTTTGTATCCCCCTGTTAATGACTCAGGACAAGCTTGTTACATTTGTAAAAGTATAGAGAAATCACACTGTTGCATTATGTAGGGTAATCCCAAATCATAATGTATATTCTGCCTTTCCCCTCAAGTTTGTTAATTTAAGTGAGAGGTCTGTGGAATCTTAGATTAACAGAAATCCTAGAAATCTTAGACTTTGTCTCTTCTAGAAGGTCGGTAAGAGCAAGTCATAGCACCTAAATTTCTTTCCATGGCTATCAACTAATTCCTTAATATCCCTCTTAATTGGTTTTAATGGAAGTCTGAAAGAATATAATATGAATGGTGGGTAATTTATCAATCTGTGGCTTCTCATTATATACTTGATCCAATATCTTAGTTTGTTGCATTCATATATCTCTTCATAATTAACAAGGCACTTTCATATACATTATTTGTGTCTCACTTCAACACTGATGGACATGTAGAACAGTGATTATAACTCTATTAATATATGAGTACACTTGGGTCCTAAGAGATTAGACAATACAACTATAAATGAGTATTACAGAGTTTAAATTTAATTAATTACATAGAAAAATAGCAATTTTACTGTGAAGACACATAGTGATACCACTTAACTAAGTTGTCAAAATTAATGTCACCAATAATGAGACATCAATATTATGTACCTCCTAATATGCACTGAAAAGGGCATGACATCACCTTTGGATGATTATTGGCAGATATACTAAAGGTGCTGTGCATTGGGCCTCTAGTTATCAATAATGAACTATAACATTCGCTAATTACTGATTACTATAATCATGTTGCATTCATTTATCTTATGCACCTTATGTACAGGTGCATCATTTCTCTCCACTAATACTAGCAGCAAGTATTTTAGCACTGATTGCAACTTCATTAGTCTTGGACTGACTTTTTTGGTATGTGCAACAGGAAATATTTCACTTTTGGAGAACAAGAAAAATAGGTTTATTTGCCTTATGCTTATTAATTTGTGCAGTTATTCAGTGTCTGGTAATTAATGTTCAAGGAAAAAAAGATTATTTTTTATTGAAATGTATTATTTTATGTTAATTATTACTCATTTATTTCAGCCCCTTGTATTCAGCATGTCTCTATCGAAATAAACCTACATTTCTATGAAAATTTAAGCTTTTTTTTTTCCAGCCCACATAAACTTAAACCTTGTTTATTTGGCTTGTGTTAGCCTTTGAGTTTGACACAAAGAATACAGACACTTTGTGTACTATTTTTGCCACCTTTTTGTAACTCTGAAATGATTTAAAAATCAGAGTTTAAATAAGTAAACAAATAGACAAATAAATCAATAAATAGGTTTGCTCTTTTAGCCAAGTCAAATTAATTTTTATCTTCAATTACAATTTTTACAAACTTCAAAATTCAACTGGTAATAAATAGACCATTTTTGCATTATTCAAACCCATGGATAATGTTTCTGTAGGATTAGTCTATGTCCTAAGGTAGAATTCTTGGAGATATAAAGCATGGAGGCAAAGACTATAGGCCTTGGGTTTGAATAGACAAATCCTAACCCTGTCATTTTTGACATATGTCTACCTCAGTTTCTTTATCTGAGAAATGGGGGTAAGTAATGATATTATAGAATTGTTGTGGGGTTGAGTGATTCAATGCATGGTAAGTCCTTACCACAGTGCTAGGAATATGTTCCAACTTTTTAGCTCTAATTAAATTTATTTATTTATTTATTTGTTTTTTTAATATATTTTATTGATTTTTTACAGAGAGGAAGAGAGAGGGATAGAGAGTTAGAAACATCGATGAGAGAGAATCATCGATCAGCTGCCTCTTGCACACCCCCTACTGGGGATGTGCCTGCAACCAAGGTACATGCCCTTGACCAGAATTGAACCCGGTACCTTTCAGTCCGCAGGCCAATGCTCTAGCCACTGAGCCAAACCAGTTTCGGGGCTCTAATTAAATTTAAATAAAAGGGTGAAAAAAGATAGCTTCCTGGGCCAGTCACCACTTTGTGTTCGAATGGTTCCATTGGCTGGTATTTCACCAACTTAAGTGGACATTGCTTACTCAAAAGCTGTTTAAAGCATGCTCACTACTACTAAAAAAAAAAAAAAATCTGAAAGAAAGGATGTCATTTACACAAATTCCCTAGGGATATTTTGAAACAATAAGTGAATCACAGTGAGGAGCTTGGAGTGGAAAATATCTCTGCCTCAGTAGTCGGTTGGGTATTGTCACTGGAAGGGAGAGTGGAAAATCCAAGTTCTTTTCAGAGGTTTCTCTGCTCATGATGGAGAGCAGGGAAGGAGCCATGGCTGCTGTGGGAGTCCAGCAAAACCTGCCCTGAGTGGGCGGGCAAAGCTTTCAACAACTTGGAAAGCCTCTTCAAAGAACAATTAAAAACAACCTCCCATGGTGGGAGGTGAGTCTGGCTGGGAGACTCCTGCTATCTTTTCCCCAGGGTTGAATTCCCAGGCTTCTGGATTCTTGTGGAGTGGCCTCGGTAGTGGACTCCGAAGGATGTTCCCTTTTCACTTCCCCGGGTTCAGAGTGGTGGTCTGAACACATGGGGTAAAGAACATCTGGCTCTCCCTAAGCTGAAAGAGATTTGCAGTCAGCAGGTGGGGGCTGGAGGTTTGTGAAAATAGTGGGGCAAAGTTCATTTTGTGGACAACTCTTGGCCATGGGTGTTATTTACTTCACATTTTATACTGCCGAGCTCCTGTGGGCTTATTACAGATCAGTTCATAAACAAACACACGCTAAGTTGTGTCCTGGGGATAAATGATGAGTTTATGTGACTTTGAGGTTGCGTGTTCGAGGTAAGAGGGGAGCCACAGCTAAGGACTCGGTGTGATACCCTGAAATTCCAGGCTACTCCCCTATTTGGGAAAAAGACTGCAGAAGAATCCATGAACTGTACACAAGCTTTTAGGCACTAAATTAATGTCTTCAACATTTCTAAAAAGAATTGTTATGGGCTAAGGGCAATAAATAACCCCACAGAGCATCTAGCTTTAAGTGTATGAAAAGATAAAATAAGTACTTTTGAACCTGAAATAGTCTATAAAATAACTTCAATATGTATTTAATATTTCTAACAATGATTACCCAAAATCATAATTTATTCAGTCATCTCATAAATATCAAATTGTGTGTCTATTGCTAGTATGTGCCAGAATGATATATGAGCCAAGCTTCTAACTAACTTATGGTCAATATTTTTTGATGACTTGATAGTTTCCTCTTCATAAGAAAGCTTCTACTTTTTGATGTAATGAGCATCAAGAGATACCCTTTGCAACTCAAAATAGATCCCCATGTAGCAATTCTGTGCACACACACTGTTATCTTTATGTGTTTAAAGTGGTGGAAATTCATTGGATGACAGAATGAGTAATCATGAGAGGGTTATGTATGGCAGTCCTGTCTGAGCAGAGCCATGAAAAAGGAGGCTGTACATTCCCAAGCTAGACATGAAACAGAAAAATGTTTATTTCTCACTGTGAGGTCGATCTGAACACGATCTCAGGAAGAAAAGCCATCATCAAAGGGAAAGAATCACAGTGATTCCACGAGATCATTTATCCTGCAAGTCCAGAGTATCTCTTTGCAACACAAAATGTAACAGGTAGGCAGTGATGTCAAATCTTGGGTTGTATCCTCTCTAGGATATAAACAGAAGCATGAGTGGAAACTAATGAGAGGAACACCACATGGGAGAGGGAGAGAATCAGATAGCAGTTAGAGGGAGAGTGAAAGAAAAGTAGATACCCCTGGAAGGACCCGGAACCCTGCTCTAACTCCCCACATGTGATACAGTAGTGCTTGTAGCATGAGCTGCCCTCTCTGCTTCAGCCCATCCCTCACCCCCAAGAGAGGTTCCTCTCGGTACAGAATGGCCAAAAGCTCTAGAGAGGATGCAACCCAAGATTTGACATCCGTGTTAGGGAGAGATCACTTTATGAAACTGACTTTGGATGAATAGCAATATGTATTGGGTAACTTCATTAACTGCAGAGTAACCCAGAGTGGGAAATAGTTTGTAAGTGAGTTAATGAGGGGATCAGCATGCTTTTCAGTTCAATCAATAGAACTCTCCAGTATATTGTGACCTTCAGCATGAGATAATAGAGACTTTGTTAACTAATAAAATAGTAATTGGACAGTTAAAATTTGTTAGTGAAATCTGTCAGTGTTAATTCAACCTAGTCCATTGGAAAGAGGCACTCGACAAAAACAATTATCCCAATCCTGCAAGGGTGAATTTGTTATCTGGGACAAGAAACCTCTCTCTCTCTCTCTCTCTCTCTCTCTCTTTCAAACACACACACACACACACACACACACACACACACACACACACACACCACTTTGTATATCAATTGTACTCAATTTCTTCTTGCCATTATGAATTTGTGTGTTTCAACATCAGTTCAGTGTTCTTTGAAAATCATTTTCCTGCCCTTTCTAAGTCATCACAAAAGTTTATTGCTTTCACCACTTTCATTATGTTTATTACTCTCACTACATCTGCTTTTGAACTACCCCTCCTCCCCATTTGGGAGCATTCACTCTAATTCCTTAGTCTAGTACAAGCATGTCAAACTCAAAGGCTAACACGGGTCAAATAAACTAGACATGTGGCCCATGGGCTGAGAGTTTGACATGCTTGGTCTAGTATATAAGGCCTCAGACTTCAGTGCCCATTTTCTTGACTACTCTGTGGTATTTAATACAACTGCTCTGACACTCTAATTTATAATATTTTCCAGTATACCACTCTCTGTTTCTTTTCTTCCCTCTCTGACTCTTCTGTTTCTTTCCTTTCAGTGTCACTGTTGGCTAGAGCTCGGTCCTGGGCTCAGCACTCTCACTGGGAAATTCATCCTTCCCCATGTAACCCACTTCGTATCCAGCACACCTCCTGGATGGCTTCTTGTCCATCACTGCAGACCAAAGTAAGTACAACTCACTATGGATGAAAAGAAACCTCATTTTTCTTCCCAAGCATACTCCTACTATTTTTCTTAGGTTGATGAATAATACATCCATCCATCAAATAATCCAGGGCCAAACTTGGGTTTCTTAGATTCATCCTTCTTCTCATTTCCTATGTTCAAATCTTTAGCTACTTAAATTTCCCAAATCTGTCTACTCCTTCCCACCCTAACTGCTGTGCCTCAGTTCAGGGCCTTATCACCTTTTAATTTGGAAGAAATTTAAATATTTTTCCAACTGATTTTCCTGTCTCAGTTTTTTTATATCACTAATTGATTATCCACACTTCAGCCAAAGTGATAGTTTTAAAATTCAAACCTAACCAAATTACTTCTCTAACTTAAGACCCATTATTGGCTTCTCATTGCTTTAACAGCTCTCAAATGCTCTTATGTGATGTGTAAGGCCTGATACAGCCTGCCCTGTCCTGATCCCTGGCTTCGCCTCTTCCTACTGACACAGGCTATGGTCCCGGGACAGCTCAGTAAAAAAAGTCATGAATTGATTGACTTATAGGCTTTAATTGTATCTAAAAATATATTTTTAAATGTCTAAGAATGATTAGGCTTGATATTTCCTTTGCCTCTAAGAGCTTGCAATCTGACTTATACATTATGTTGAATTTCATCATTATTGGATATTGTTTTTACTGCCTTCAATCTTATGTATACTGGTTGTTTAGGGCCCATGTAGTGCTCTCATACCATTTCTGATATTTATTCCCTCTGAGTAAAGAAGACATTCTTCATGTTCTAAAAAAAAAAAAAAAAAAAAAAAAAAAAAATGGGAAAACTTATTATCACATAGCTAGGATCTGAGGCTCTTTGGCAATAGCATATGTCATTAATTTCAGTCTTTGATAATCTGAGAAGTATGGAAATTTCCCACCTCCTACCCTTTTGCAGGATTCACAACTCTGCCAAGTTTTATAGCTCATCGGGATATTTACAAGCTAAATGCTGAACTGTGGAAAAAAAGACATCTTCACATCTTTAGTTAGAAGCTTCACAAAGAGCATGTGTGGTTAGGAAGGCAAAACTGGATTCCATTTGCAGCTTTTCCAGGAACAAGGGCTGTGATCGTGGACAAATTCCTAACCCTTTCTAGGACTCAGTTTCCTCAGCTGGTCTCTGAAATGGCTTCCAGCGCTAAAACAAAACAAGACAATCAAAACATTGACAATTTTTTTTTTTTTTTTTCCAAATCCCTGCCCAACATAGTGACTAATGACTATCTTTCACGGGGAGGGGATATATAAATTGGCTTTTGAAGTTTTCCAAAGTAGTTCTTCCTTAGGTCCCTCAGTCTTTCACTGCTTACAGATCAAGTTATGTCCATTGTTTAAAGTAGTTACTGAAAAACTGAAGACACTTTTCCCCCTCACCAACTTACCCTGTGGATAACACCCTTTCACAACTGCTGCTGGTATAATGTACAGCCCTAAGAGTTTTCTTCTGCTTGCTTTACAAGGAAAATCAGCTTTTCCTCTGGGTAAGAAATATCCTAGAGCCTTTCCTACTCTGAAATTAGCATGAAAATTGAATGTTTACAAAATGGTATGCACTCCTTAGTGGCTGGCCCTGAGGGGTGAAGGGTGAGGAGCAACATGAAAGGAGGAAGAGAATGCATGGCAGGAGTTCAGAAGTGAACTCTCTCTAGAGAGGGAATTTCTGTGTTACTTTCCTCAATTCTTTCACACTCTCCCCCAGAGGAACACAGGGTCCTTCTCTTTCCTTTCAGACTATATGACAGACAAAAAAATGCTTGGACTAAAACCAAACCGGAAGCACAATGAACATTTTGGCTTTATCAAAATTGGAAATCTAGCCATGCTCTGGGTGACTATGTTTTCTGTCATCCAGAAACACAATTACAGCACAATTAAATTAAAATTGCTAATAAAATATATCTGAAAAAGTCCATACATTTGAAAATCAATGCATATAACATACACATAGGACATCATACTGAAAATTAGAAAACACTTAGAACAAAAATATTTTTAAATCACATATCAAAATATTTAAGAAGAAAATAAAGCAGTAATAAAAAAATTAATTTTAAATGTATATTAAAATAAAAAGTAAAGCATTAGATGGCCAACCCAAGAAGTTTAAAAAGAAACAACTGAGTAAACTCGAAGAAAAAAGGAAGACAAAAAAACAAGAAAACAGAAATTAATTAAAATATATTCAATGCTGTAGAGAAAAATAACCAAATCAATGGCTTATTCTTTGAAAGGCTTAGAAAATATACAACCTTTAGAGAGACTACTCCACATAAAAAGTAAAGAGAGAGGAAAAAAAATAACAAACAATATTGAAAGTAAAAAAAAAAAAAAAAAGTGGGGCTTATCTGTAGATGCAGCCCAGATAAAAAATAATAAGAAAATACTATCAATAATTGTGTGTTAATAAAACTACATATCTGAATGAATGGCAATTTCCTGGGAAAAAATCATAACATCAAAACTGACTCCAGAAAAAGAATACACCTGAATAGTACACACTTTAATGTAGACACACACACACACACACACACACACACATACACGGTGGGCAAAGTAGGTTTATAGCTGTTCATATGAAAAAAGACATACAGGTTATGATTATTATAATAGCTTTAACTGTGTTTTTCTCATACTCAAGACTGTATGCTTGCTTTTGACAACTCTTGTATATATACCAAACATTACCCAGACAATTTTACAAGTTCTACCAAACATTCATAAGTCAGATCATCCCTATCATATCTAACTGTTCCAAGGAACACTAACTTTAGCAACTTCTGAGTTAATAAATACTCTGCAATTAGGAATAAAAGTGATTTGTGTTTTTCAAATGTGAGCAGTGTTTTTCAAAAATCTTATAAGAATCATACAAGTCAAGAAAAATGTAATGTGTTCCTTTAAATATGGAAATGTGGACCAAGAAAATGATGCCCACTATCACCCTTGAAACTGGGAATCTCATCCAGCACAATAAGATGAGAGAGAGAGAGAGAGAGAGATTTTTTAAAAATAGCAAATCTGGTATTTTTTAGAGGCCCAGTGCACAAAATTCATGCACTGATGGTGGGGAGTGGGGATAGTCCCTCAGCCCAGCCTGAGTCCTCTCACAGTCTGGAATCCTCACTCCTTACTGCCCACCTGCTCACTGCTCCTTACTGCTCAGCTTGCTGCTCCTTAACCCTGCTGGGGAGACAGGAGTGGCTCCTGCCACCAGCGTTATGCTTGCCAACCATGAGCCTGGCTGCTAGCTGAGCAGCACTCCCCCTATGGGAGTGCACTGACCACCATGAGGCATCTCCTGCATTGAGCATCTATCCCAGGTGGTCAGTGCACATCCTAGTGACCAATTGTTCTGGTTGTTCCACCATAAGGGTCACCTAGGCTTTTATCCTATCTAATAAAAGAGTAATATGCAAATTGACCATCACTCTAACACATAAGATGGCTGCCCTCATGAGGATACAAGGTGTCCCCCACAAGATGGCCAGCAGGCGAGGGCAGTTGGGAGGGACCAGGCCTGCAAGGGAGGGCAGTTGGGGGCAATCAAGCCTGCAGGGAAGGGCAGTTAGGGGCAATCAGGCTGGCAGGGGAGCAGTTAGGCATCAATCAGGCTGGCAGGTGAGTGGTTAGGGGGTGATCAAGCTGACAGGCAGAAGTGGTTAGGGGCAATCAGGAAGGCAGGTAGGCAAGCAGTTGGGAGCCAATAGTCCTGGATTGTGAGGGGGGTGTCCAATTCCCTTTTTAGGCCCAATCCAATCTGGGACCCCTTGAGGGATATCCGACTGCCCGTTTAGGACATCCATCAAGGGGTCCCAGATTGGAGAGGGTGCAGGCTGGGCTGAGGGACCCCCCCTGCATGAATTTCATGCCCGGGGCCTCTAGTTATATAGATAATATCAGGTCTAGTAATAACTAATGTCGTTTTTTAACATTCGTTTAAAATCTTGCTTGGCGTTGACTTGTATTGACATAACCTTCAAACACGTGGTATCTACAGAATGTGTGAAGTGCAATTAACAAGTTTTGCTTGAAAAAGTTTGTGTTTGGTTTGGTTTTTGTTGCAAAACTAGAGCTAAGAAGATGGCGGAATGAAGAGCATATTCGGCACTGCATGCTTTACGAGTTCCAATTAGGAAGAAAAGCAAGTGAGGCTGCAAAAAACATCTGTAGTGCTCTTGGTCAAGATGCAGTTAGCGCCAGAAAATGCCAGCGTTGGTTTGAGAAATTTTGTGAGGGAAATTTTTTCGTTAGATGACAAGAGTGGTCGAGGCCCTGTGTCCAATTTTGATCAAGAAGCTCTTCAAGCTCTTTTGGTGCAAAATCCTCAAATTACCCAACAAGAGCTTGCGACAACTTTAAATTGTTCACAAAAAACAATTTCCAATCAATTGCGTGCACTTGGCAAAGTCCAAAAGTTTGGAAAATGGGTTCCTCATGAGTTGACCGACAACACAACAACTGTAATCAAAGAGTCACAATTTGCAGTTCGCTCCTCTCTCGTCAAAACCGTTTGCTGTTTTTAGAGCAAATTGTTACCGGAGATGAAAAA